GGAAGGCCTGGAGGAGGTGGTGAGAGTTTAGAGGCTCTGAGGTTAGAGAGGTTCCATTAGTGTGTAACAATTGTGAGGATTTCTTCGAGAAATTGTAAGAGTGGAGGGAAAGTGAGAGATTTCTTCCTCCTTGCTACTTCGAAGAGGAATTCTGTGTGTTGTAAAGAAAGGAAGAGATTCAGAGGAACTTCGGGGAGTGTTCTTGGGGAGAAATTAGAGATAAGTTATTTACTTGTTGTAGTTTGTATGACTTTGATTTTATATACGAATTCTGAGTTTTATTGTATTTTCCCCATGAATCCTGAGTAGTTTTCTCTGTCTTTCTCCTTATCTCGAGATTTGTGAAACGGTGATTTGAATTGGTGAAGCCATAAAAATGTTTAAGCATTTGTGATGATCTTTTCACTTCGATCTTAATTTACTTTCAATCTGACCAATTGATTTGTTAAAATATGTTGAGTTTTACAACTAAAGTGAAGATTACATCTAAGATTCAGGGAGGTCAAAGCCCTTGGAAGTTAGGTGCAAATAAATAGGAAAATATTATTATCGGGCGTAGAATTGGAGATTTTAGAGTGACAGACTAAAATCCCCAATTCGGTCCCATTGTTTGGGTGCTGAAGTGTAGATGTTAGCCCTCAGGTGAGGGGAACGTGGGAGCTCCGAAGTGAGAGCCGGTATCCTCCCAGTCTAGCCGCAGATTCAGTAAACAAGCATAGGATTAGTCAATGTTCTTTATGTCTGGACCAAAGTGTAAAGAATAGGTATGCTCCTATTTGATACAATATAAATTGAACTAATTCATTTTATCTATTCACTATAATTTCTTGACAAGGTGAAGGATGCTTTCTTATATATTGAATATCACAATTAAACCCTACTTTATATCATTAGTTATTTGTTAGTTATTAAAATTATCTATTTATTTCAATTGCCTACTAGTGATAGATAAGCAAATTGAACGTCGTTGTTGTGATTAAAGTATTGCTTTTCTAAGGTCTTAGTCCGTAATTCTAAATTACTCCCTGTGGGATCGATATCTAGGACTCAAATAGAGTCATATATTACTTGAGCGATACGTATATTTGCGTTGACAAATTCGACTTTAACATTATTGAATATTATATTTATACATCTTAATCAAATTAGACACGTCTATAAAGTCGCGATCATAAATCTAACTCAAGAACTAAGGTACTTTTCTATCGAAGATTAATATGTTTGTTACAACAATTATCTAATTTTTACCATATTAAATGAATTATATTGCCTTTAAGCCTTTAATGATATTAATTTCATATTTAGGATTCTTGTTTGAGATTAAGTAATGATATACATTAACTCAATGTGTTCTAGAGAAAAATTTTGAGGAAAGGTTCCAAAAAGGTTTTGAGATTTAAGTTTCCTAAATGCTTCCATTAGGGTGCCTAAGAATGTCTAAGCATTAACAATTTTGAATGATAATGGCTACATATATGGTTGTGATAATTTCTTATGATTGGGTAAATTGTAAAGATTACAACTCCCTCATTGTTTTATTTTTAGATTAGGTGATTATTATTAAAGCCTATGTTAGTATACTCTTCATTTATGTGAGTGAGTTTGAAGTATTGAACTATTAAACACAATTATAAAAGATGCAATAATAAGACTTCATTCATTATACATACTATTATGGAGGATAGAACTATGAATATCTTATTTAGATGTTGTATCATAAATAAAGTTAATAATATTGGATATTAGTGTATATTATGGATGTATATGATTAAATTGAGAGTTTATAATTTATCTATTTAAAAAAAAAATTATTATGTTGTTAAAAGTTCTTGGTAATTTATACACTTTAACATTTAATTTTTTAATTAATTTTCGGCATGAGATTCCTATAAATAGTTGAATATTATTAAATGAGAATTGAAGCTAATCCATTAAGCTTATTTAATACTAGATATTTAGTTGTAATGCATTTAGCAAATAATAGATTTATCTAGAAATTATAAAAATAAAGTTTGACATTTATGATACCTTAGAAAATCCTTATGAAAAGAAGAAGAAATATTATCAATGTTTATAACTCATATGTCTTATGCTCATAAGAACTAAGTAAATCAAATTCTCATTTACCAAACAAGAAAAGAAATTATTTTTGTAATCAATCTCTCTTTAGAAGATAACAAATGAAAAATAATTCATTTCCATTCTTTTACCATTTCCATTTACATTTCATTTTATTTCATCTTTTTTTTTAAAATTTGTCCAAAGCATGTGTATCATGAGCTTCTAGTCATTGCCTTTACTCCCCTCTTTTCTTGTTCTTCATTTCCCTCTTATGCTCTTTTTTTTAGTCCTTCACCTTTGTATAGAAGAATGTTTCCCAAGTGTTAGCAATGAGTTCTTCCTCTCTGATTGCTTTGATATATAAATATTTTTTAATGGAGAGATTGGTTGTGGATGTGGTACAAAAATGACATAAGCATACATTTCTTCTTGCAATTCATAGCATAATATTAGATGTACCCATCACATAAACTAAGCATTGCATACTTGTTAGGGTTATAAGTGAGCCATAGCACTTGATAATTAGGTTAAAGTTAACTTGACTAACATTGACTCGATAATTAGGTTAAAGTTAACTTGACTAACATTGACTCGATTAACAGGCATTCAATTTCATTCAAGTTATAGACTAAACACTTTTGAGCTCTTTTTAAAAACCTAAAGACTAAACACACTGAGCATTAATACAATCTAACTCCTTTATTAATGGTCTTGAACTAGTTTCTTTATTATTCAACAATTAGCTTATCAAATGCTTGATGTAAATATAAACTATTTAATTAGTCATTTACTAGTTTAAGTTACTTTTATAATTCTCATACTTATTTCATAATTCCATCTCCGAATCATACTTTCAAGTTTCAACACTTTTAATCTTCATAAACCCAAGTTTGCTTTCCTAAGCGAGTATATACCAAGGTGGCGGCTAGCATGAGTAGGGTTGTAAACGAGTCGAGCTTGAGCAAGCTCAGGCTTGGCTCGTGTTCGGCTCGTTCGAAATAGCTCGTGTTCGAAATCGGCTCGTGAACAGTGTGTTCGTGTTCGGCTCGATTTAAATATTCTTGTTTGTGTTCGGCTCGTGTTCGGCTCGAAATTGGCTCGTTAAAATTAAATTAAAAAAAATAGATGTAAAGTGTGAGATTTGAACCTGAACCAAATATATACAAAAGAAGACATAAACCACATTGCCACAAAATGTGTTATGATTTAAACTTACAAAAATAGTTATATAAATTTTTTTATTTCGAGCTAAAACAAACTGAACACGAGCGAACAAAGAGCTATTCGTGTTCGGCTCGTTTATAATTCAAGCTTTAAAATTTGTTCGTGTTCGACTCGTTTACTTAACGAACTAGCCGAACACGAGCTAATTAACGAGCTGAACACGAGCTGCTCGCAAACAACGAGTTTTTTTGACAGCGTTATGCATGAGCATGAAACTAAAAAAATGAGAGAGCAAATTATCAATTATTCTCATTTCCAATGTGCCTGCAATTGACATGTCAATGAGTGTTCTATGAGCACATTGTTTTTAGCCCAGAGGGGTGAGAAGGTTGAGGGAGATCAGGTCGGTAAGGTTTTCTGAATCATAGAATTCTCTCTACTTCTCTTTCATTGAAATTTACACCATATTTATCTTCAAAACCTTAGCCCTCAACCCAAAACAAACTAACAACACTTCACAAAGCTAAAAATACTTTTTTTAATTCTACTTTGCATGAGATAATCATTTTGCTTTCAAATATGTATAATGTTTTAAAATAAAAAATAAAAAAATAAAGCACATATGATATCACAAATAACACACTTTATAAGATTCACAAATCAAAAAAATTCACTGCTTTCTTATATGTATTAAGATATTCAATGATGCCTTGAATTTGTCATCTACTTTTATATGTGAAAATAATATTATATGCACTGTTGAGCTTGTCTAATACCTCATCTTAAGATTGTCATAAATCAAACTTGACTTCCAATAGTAATATATTCCATTTGATAAACTAAAAAAACCAATCCATAATCTCTCTCTCTCTCTCTGAAATTTTTACATGCTTATAGCATGCTTTATTATTAAGCTGGTGAAGGATCGGAAACAGATGTAAGTGGATTGTTGTAATCCAAGAAAAATTATTGTGTGCGGACACCGCATGCATCTCAACAGGCGATGTCCGATCCTTACCTCTACGGTCGGGATATATTTTAATTTTTTTTAAAAAAAAATTAGGTGGGGCCCACCAAAATACATTCTGATCGTAGATCACCTGATTTACGGTCAGGATTGGAGTGTATGGAATAATTTTTCGTAATCCAGCTGACAGCTAATCGTGGATCTGATATATTAAAACACTGCACTGGCACTCGCACTGGCGCTGCAAACGATTAATCATAGCATCCATGTCTGCGTGAAGTTAGCATTCAAATTGAAGGCATCACAAGAATCATGGCTCTGCATTAAGTAGGTGAGATGCAGCTACCGGTTTGCCCCCTGAATGAAGAAGATGACAGGAGGTGATGGGCAGAGGGGAAGAGATAGCTCTACAGAGGAGTGCATGATTAGCGTTAGGGTTAGGGTTTCAGCTGAACGATTGGTGGACCCGCAAAGGTTTGGTACAGGTAATTAAGCTGGGTTGCCTTGGAAGGGAGGAGGAAGGCACGAGCTGCATGTGAGAAAGTAGCGTATTTATCAAATGAAAAGAGGAATAAATATGTTCTCTTTAATAAATGATACGATGCCTTAAAGAAGAGATAAAGCGAAGACATGACTTATTTTATTTTATTTTGAAAATGATGAATGTCAGAATGGATAAAACTTTAAATTCAATTTTTTTATATCAATTAGAGAATTAACAATGATCAAACAAAACACGTGTAAATGACAGGCGGCAGATGCTCCCAGAGTCGATTACACGTCATAACACTTCAATTCTATAAGAAAATATATAAAATTAATCATCATAAACTGTAAATTTATAGCAGTTTAGAATGAAAGAATAGTACATAATGATGCAACAAAAAGGAGAACAGTTCACCAACAAACAGCAGCCATGAACATAGCTCTGGTCAACTGAAACATATCCGCAAGGCTTCTCGGTAAGTGAATGATATTTCTGCACTGAGTGGACTGGAAGAAGAGATGTGCGGGAAGGAATTAGGGTCAAGGATGCAAAAACAGGTTAGTTTGTGGCGGTGGGACGGCACCTCGGGTTAATATGCGGTTTATCAAGCAAAGTTTGGAAAGAATATTGGAATGAATTGATCTACAGGGAACAGAGAACAAGCAAAGGTCAGGCAACTTGCTGCGCAATTCCAGAAAAAAAAAAAAGGGTTGTGTTCGCTACTGAAATGGTGAACATTGGTGAAAGAGAGCAACACAATGTGTAATATAACACCTAAGCACTTCCATGCTTGTCAATGGAACAAAGGCGAGCCCGGCCAGGGTTAATCAATGACTCTGACATTATCCATCCCTACAAAAAAAAAAAAAAGGATTCAAAATTAAGCTTTAATTCATATCAAGATGACCAACAAACAAGCTAGCATTTTAGGTGATAAAGGTGCAATCTTATCGTTCAAATGACTCGAGTATGTGTGAATAAAATGTCTATGCATGACTTCTTGCCACTTTTTACATGGAAGCATGGCATTAAAATATAAAAAGACATGGTTCTAAAATTAAGATCTACAATTTTTCCTTGGAATTCATCTAGAATGTTCTGCCCTTTCCAGCATATCATGTCAGTTTGAAAATTAGATGAAGTCAAGCAAAGCGCTTGACAAATTATCAAGTTAGCTGACCTACTTATACTTCAGTTTTGTATTAGCAGGTAATTAGTTGGGAGTAAGGCTAAAGATGATTATGATGAAGATGATGAATGACATATATTGTAATACTGTGCATGGAATAGGAAGAAATAGAATACACATAAATATTCGGACACAGAAATACCAACGAAAAAATCACCTCAGCTTCAGCTTCTCTCTTGAAATCTTCATAAAAGGATGATACTGCATTGCAGGACTCAACTACCTGGGCTTCTATGTCTACAGCTGCGGGAAGTAAATGATTCGATAAACTATGGTTCAGAGATGATTGAGAATGATTTGAGGGACTGCTGTTCAGTGATGACTGAAAAGGATGAGTGAGATATCTTGAAGATTGCTTCGCATTTGAAGATTGAAGAAAATGCAGAAGCACATGAGCCTGCAAAAGCAGATTGTCAATAGTCTACACAATGTTCATTTCCTGACTTTATTGAAATAGAAATGAATACCTACATGGAATGCTGCCTTCAAAATGTCATCTGCTTTTGCTTTATCCTTTAGTAGTGCATATATGTTACCCTTTGAAGGATTATATGTCACTATATACCTTTCTTTCTGCCGGCCATGAAAATTGCAACAAGTAACAAATATGCAACTTTATATGACACAATAACAACATACAAGGGCTAAATGAGCCCAAAATCACAAACAAGCAAGCACATATAACAAATTTTAGGAGTATCATCACGTTATACACAAACATAGCAAATATAGGCCATGTGTCAAATGAAAATCGCCTTATCTAAAACAATAGTTTCATGATTACAAAACAATACCTCAAATAATGGCTCTATGGAAAGATATGTTGATGGATCTTGAAATGCTTCTCCAAATCTAGACCCTAAACAAAGATGGTGGAAGTTTTAATGTGATCTTGCAAAAAATAAGGCAAAATAAAATAATAAAGTAATATAGGTTGATACCTAAGATTATAGATGTTTGTTTTGACCATGGAAAATGGAATATGTTTTCTTTGGCATTGCCTTCCTTCAATGAAGGAACATTACCTACAAAAAACAGTAAGGGCTGATGATGCGCAACATAAGGTTTTTCGGCCATGTAAATGACATACTCGAAGTACTTAATTATGTTTTGCATCATTTGATGAGAAATTCAAACAACATATATAATCAACGATGATCTAGTCACATGCCAGTCAGCAGGGAACAAGCTAACGAATACAAGAATCTAACTAAGAAAATTAAATTCATGTAGTTAAGAAAAGGGTACCGGCTGCTGTTAATTTGTGTTATTAAAGTCCCCATAGCATGCAAAAGCTAGGAAAAGAATAATGTCGTTGATGAATCATACAAGTCCCACTCACAACAGAAGCTCGGTGAATTCTAAACTTATTCATTATCACAGCTTTCATATAGCATGCCTTTAATCATCGCCAAGTCCCTCTCTCTCTCCTAACTCATGAACCACCATTAAATCCTCCAAAATTGATAGAATCATCCCAAAATTACCCACAAAAAGGGAAGATTTTGGGAATAATGCATGATTTTCAAACGCCTATAGCCATCATTGTCTTTGAAAAAAAAAAGTTTTATTTTTGTGAGATTTTAAAATCATGAAGTTAGCTTGAAATTGTGTTTTATATTGTGTGAAATAAACTTAAGGTAGCCTCGTATAGAAATGCAAGCTGCTCTGCAAGCTGACTCAACATATGTTCATCATCAAGCAGTAGAGAAGGTGCATGCGCAACATGACACTTTTCTAAACGTATTTTCACATCAACCAAAAGTGCACAGTGAATCACACCATTGGTTACGCATAAAAGTTGCACTGACAAAAAATTTTTATGAATTCAACCACATCCTTTCACATCTTTCCATATAACAAGTCTTTTAGTAATGGCTATCTCCCGCCACATTCTTCCAAACGCTTTATCATCTTTAAATTCTCCAAAATTTTTAGACTTGTCCCAAATCACGCACAAAGTTATAAAAGTTTGAAAATAAGCCATCAGAAGAAACACTAGTATCCATTCCCGTAGATGACAAATATTTCAAAATTTGCAACATCTTCCGCAAAATATACAACTAAAGCACCGTTTGGGGTACAATTATGTTGATCTTATACTGTGCAAAACAAAAAATTTATGGAGCCTTACCAAGAGGGATCAGCCGGCCACCAATGAAGATTCCTAGTGTACTTGATTGAAGACTATTTTGGAAACTACTTGATTAGTTTTTATTCACTTCCTATGTACATTTCTTTATTTTTGTTTCAGAATCATTTCCTTTTTTAATTTAAATTAGATATATTTGGTAAGTTTGTAAATTATGAGAGATTGATTTCCCTATATATGTACCCTAATTGTGAATAATCAAATCAAGGAATTAGTTTTCGCCCAGAACCTGTCTTCTACATGCTATCAAAGCTTAGGAACAAACCCTAGCTTCCTCTTGCCGTCGGAACCCTACAATAGTCATTGGAATCTCCACTGTCGACCTGTAGGCACTCATCTTATCTTCCCTGTAGCGAGCTCCCTGTCGGAGCCTCCCAGACCCTGCTACAGGCACTCCTCCCTGGCCCTACAGGCCCTCTAATCGGAATCTCCCTGTCGGAACTCTTCCCTGCGCAGCCCGCCCTCAGTTTTTCCCTGCAATTTTCCTTGCAGGAGTCTCTGTCGAAGCTATCCCTGCAACTGCACACTGCATGTTTTCCCCTATTTGATAGGAAAGAAGACAGGCTTCCCTGCAGACGCACTCTAATTCCCTTGCAAGCGGTCCTTCTTCCTTGCAGGCTTACCAACATCCTTCCTTTCTCAGCTATCCTTCAGCGGAATCCTTCTCAGCAGCAGTAGGCCTTCCACCAAAATCCTCCTCAACAGCAACTTCTCCACCAATTGCACTCCAACAGCAACAGGAAATCAACTGCGGCGGTAGCATCAGCCAATTTTCCTCCTTTAACACAGCTATCTTTTTTCTACCTACAAAAGCTGCAGTCAACTCCCTTTCTGCCACTAACAACAACCCTAAATACGAATAGGGCTTCTGACAAAGTACTGGATGAAGACATCAAGTCCTACTCAGGAGGCTAATTGTGAATCGAAAAAAAAGAATTCTGCATATAGGACACTTGAACTCTCCAACTTTATCACAGATCATAAACTCAATGGTCATATACTCACAACTTCCTTCAATGGTCTCAATCCGATTTATGTCCACTTGCGGTAAAGGGATTGAGAATCATCTCACTAGAGAGGGCCCAATTCCTAAGATCACTGACCCCAACCACCGCATATGGAACAATCAAGATCATATGATTATGTCGTGGTTGGTCAACTCAATGACCAAAAGAAGTGGAAGATTTCGTTGTTCTACAAAACTGTCAAAGAAATCTAGGAGGTTACAAAAGAAACATATTTCATCAATAAGAACACAGTAACAATTTTTTAGATCGAAACGAAGCTTCATGGCATTCACAAGAAGAGTCAAGTGTCACACCATACTTCAACACATTGATAAAGTATTTCAGCTAGATAGGTTTGAGACGTGTGGAAATGCCCACATGATTCTGTGTTTAAATTCATCATCCAGAAGAAGGTAATTAACAAATTCCTAGTAGGACTTACTCATAAATTGAATGAAGTGAGAGAGAGGATGATGGGAATAAAGCCTCTTCCATCTACTCATTAAACCTTTGTTGAAGTCAGGAGAGAAAAGAGCGAAAAGAAGCTAATGTTGACTGCAAAAGGGAGTTCACAAACTACCAAAAACTTAGCCCATGTTGTTACCACATCATAAAGGTCATATGAACCATTCACCAAGGAAAAGCTTAAAGTGCTAAAAAACTCCATGGAGGTAATTCAGAGCAGCACACCAAGGTAGTATATCATTCTCCCATATTGTTAGTAATGAGAGATTTTGAACTTGAATCATAGATTCAGTAGTCTCCGATTATATGGCTGAAGACATCAATGCTCTAGGCAACTATCAAGAGGTGTTCATCGTGAAGTATAACAAAATAGAAAAAAAAACAAGAAAAGAAATAAAATAAAATTAATTGATTAATTACTTATTTGTCCCCGCCAAAGCCAAAGAGATCCACGTAGAGGAGATAACTGTTCCGCCCTTTACTCCTCAGTTGCATGAGTAGACAAGGGCATATTTTTTTATACACAATATTTATGTCGTTGAACATCTCCCTTCCCACGTTTCCTCTTCTTCATTGTCGCCAGTATTTGTCTTCTCCGTTTCAACCTCTTCACTTCGAAGTCTACACGCCAAGAAGGTAAATCTCTTAAATGTTTTTCTTCTTTCATTCTTCTTTACTACTCACCAAAGATCACTCGCTTTCACTTCCCTTGAGCGATTTCCACGGCCAAACCCAAAGCTTATGAGATCCTAGACATCTATTTCTTCCTTCACATTTCCCTGTTCACGCGACAAAGCCACAATCAATCACCACTTCCTTACTCGATCGCATCAACCCTTCACGCCGAAGTTTCATGAAAAGAATGACATAGGTGCCTCAATATATTTATATTTATTTATTAGAAAAATTAAACTTTATGAAAATGAGAATGAAATTAATTTTATATAT